ACGCCGCTGGCCTACAACTCGCCGCGCATGGCCTGCCGGGAGGCTGCCCGACGCAAGCGCGAGGGCTGCCCGAAGCCCCACGCGTTGCCCAAAGCCTTCTCATGGACGAACCGCGACAGGGCAGTGGCCTGCACGCTGCCTAGCCATTGCTTTGCGGAAGGGCTACCTGGGACATGCCCATGGGCTGCCCATGCCTTTCTCGAAAACCACCCAAGGCCTGCCCACGCAACCCCCGCGGGCTTCCCGACTGCTACACATGGCCCGCGCACTGCTCATACCCACGGCGTACCCCGTGGAATGCCAAGAGCCACGCAAGACCAACCCGCGGCACACACCCCGAAGCAGACCCATCGTCTCCCCATGGCACGCGTGCCAATGGTTCAACCCTGGTCTACACATAGCTTGGCTCTGGTCTACCCATGGGCACGTGGCAAAGGCATGCGGCACGGGGCAAGCGGCGCGGGGCGTTGGGCAGGGGCCCTGGGGAACAGTTGATGAGGGGGGCATTGGTGAGTAAGTATGACGCATTGGCAATCACCCTGACTGCCAAAATCTAGCAACACATGCGTTATACGTCTCTTTTCTTGGTTTTGTCAAACAGCAAAAAACGCCTGCATCGCCCTGGAGGCTGCACGGAGGAGCGAAATTGACCAACTTGCACCCTCAATACCATCACGCAATCGTACATTACTGAAACACACGGGCGGCACGTGTCACCCTGACAACAGCGCGCGAAAACCAGTTCGTCCAATCGCGCCCCGATGCGCCGGACAGGTGGCCCACCAGTGGGCTTGTAAACCGAAAACTGGTCGATAAAACCCATTGTTCCACTTGCATTTTGGGCCTCGACATGAACCGGTGCACCCGTAGTCCTCGCAATGCCCCAGTGCAGTGCGCACCGCGCACGCGACCCACCAGCGGGCGGGTCACCGGAAAGCTGGCTGAGACAGCCCAACTGTTGCAGTTGCACTCTGGGCCTCAACACGAGCTAGAGCATTCGCACTCCACGCGCTTCTCCCACGTAGCGCGCCACGCATTGGTGAACCACTGGGGGGCGGGTCGCCCGGATGAGAAAACCAATTGATCCCCTTGATGGCGCACGGGCATTCCGCGCGCTCCCCCCCGCGCAGAGCGCGAGGCGCAGGCGACCCGTCAGCGCGCGGGTCACCCGAAAACTGGTCGAACAAGATCCACTGTTCCACGTGCACTGCGGGCCGCAACGTGACTGGGCGCACGAGCACTCCAGACGATTCCCCCGCGCAGCGCGCACCGCGGAGGTGGCCCGCCAGCGGGCGGGTCAGGCGAGAACTGGCTGGGAAAAACAACTGTTTCAACTGCGTTCTGGGGTTCAGCACGAAATGGCGCACTCGCGCTCAATGCGCCTCCCCCGCGCAGCGCGCGCCGCGCAGGTGACCCACCGGCGGGCGGGCCACCCGACAACTGGCGAACAGAAAAGTCAACGTTTAGCGCGCGCCGCGCCGGCGACCCACCGGCGGGCGGGCGGCCCGAAAACTGGCTGGGAAAAACCAATTGCTCCACTTGGATCGCCGGCCTCAAAATGAGTTGGCGAATTTGCGTTCCACGCGCTTCCCCCCTGCAGCGCGCGCCGCGCAGGTGGCCCGCCAGCGGGTGGCCACCAGAAGCACTGGCTAAGAAAGGCCACCTGCATCACTCCACGCGCTTCCCCCGCGCAGCGCGCACCGCGCTGGCGGCCCGCCGCGGCCGAGGAACGAGTTCGACCAGTGGCCCCTTGACGCGGCGGCCTCCGCCGGTGGCGGAGCCCACGCATGCGCAACCCGACGACGAGCGTAGCAACAACGCGCCGTTCGTCTACAAATCCGCGGGAGCCTCGCGGGGACATCTGCGGGCCCCTTTCAGGCCTCTTCGGGGCCCATGTGGGGCCCCTTGGGGGCCTCTTTCCGACGCGAGGGGGCATCTTTTTGAAGGTCGGAAAGGGGTGTGGCATAAAGGGGCATGGTTCCAATCGTGAAAACGGCGATGCTATCTGCGATAAAAAACATCGCCAGATTCCCCTTTACATGAAATTAGCACCACACCCCTTTATACCATACCCCTTTCCTACCTCCAGAATCTTGGCTGCCCCTTCGGGTACCCCCGGGCCTCTCAGTGGCCCCGGGGGCCGTCGCGGGGCGCTCTTGCGCCGCCTGGCCCATTCAGAAGCCGCTGGGGGCTTCCCAGGTCCGCCTCGCGTCTCTCTTGGAGCCCCCCCCTGGCCAGCTCCACAGCCAGAGAGGGGTCGGCGGCGAGCGAGGAGGGAAAGCATGGAGGCTCCTCCTTCCTCCTCCTCCTCCTCCTCCTCCTCCTCCTCCTCCTCCTCCTCCTCCTCCTCCTCCTCTTCCTCCTCCTCCTCCTCTTGTTTATATTACTGTTATTATTGCTGCTAGTACTAGTATCATTACTCTTGCTCGTCTTCTTCTAACTCATCATATTAATAAGACTGCGACGACTGTGTATGTTAGTAGTAGTAGTAGTAGTAGTAGTAGTAGTAGTAGTAGTAGTAGTAGTAGTAGTAGTAGTAGTAGTAGTAGTAGTAGTAGTAGTAGTAGTAGTAGTAGTAGTAGTAGTAGTAGTAGTAGTAGTAGTAGTAGTAGTAGTAGTAGTAGTAGTAGTAGTAGTAGTAGTAGTAGTAGTCAGTAGTAGTAGTAGTAGTAGTAGTAGTAGTAGTACTAGTAGTAGTAGTAGTAGTAGTAGTAGTAGTAGTAGTAGTAGTAGTAGTAGTAGTAGTAGTAGTAGCAGTAGCAGTAGCAGTAGCAGTAGCAGTAGCAGTAACAGTAGCAGTAGCAGTAGCAGTAGCAGTAGCAGTAGTAGTAGTAGTAGTAGTAGTAGTAGTAGTAGTAGTAGTAGTAGTAGTAGTAGTAGTAGTAGTAGTAGTAGTAGTAGTAGTAGTAGTAGTAGTATACTTAGTGCTATTCAGATTAATAGTGGCAGTATCAGCTAACTAGCCTTCGTAGTCGAACGAAAAAAACTATTATTACGAATAGGATTACAATGAATGGTACGATTACGATTAGTCTTACTCTGACGACAGTCATATAACTAAATTTGTGTGATATGTATGATTAGTCTGCGCCAGCTTCGTCTTAGTATGTTTATTATGTGTCTTATGTATATTAGTTGTGGTAGTTGAGTTTATGTTCGTATTGTTTATGTGTTCTTGATCATGCTAGTATTATTAGTACTATTCGTCTTCCTCTTCCTCCTCCTCCTCATCTTCCTCCTCCTCCTCCTCATCCTCAGCCGCCGCCTCCGCCTCCGCCTCCGCCTCCTCCTCCGCCTCCTCCGCCTCCTCCGCCTCCTCCGTCTTCTCCTCCGTCTTCTCCTCCTCCTCCTCCTCCTCGTCCTCGTCCTCATCCTCGTCCTACTCTTCCTCCTCCTCCTCCTCCGCTCGGCGGCGAGCGAGGGGGAGGGAAGCGAGGAGGACAAGGTCTTCTCAGAAGGCGGCGGGGCTTCCCAGAAGCCCCCCTGCCTTCCGAGAGATTGTCTGTGTCTTCGGGGAAGGCTCAGGAAACGACTCTCGATCCTCAACCCTCGAATTTCGACCCTCCACTCTCGACCATCGGCCCTCGACCCTCGTCGACTCGACCCTCTATCCTCGAACCTCGACTCTCGATCCTCGAACCTCGACCCTCGAACCCAGACACCCGATATCTTGATCTTTTCGAGTTGCAGTCCCCAGAAATCCTCACCCTTCTCCACGGGCGGGTCTTTCATCCCGAGCAGTTCCCTGGGGCCCGGCGAGGGCCCCCGAGAGCGAAAAGGAAAGCGTGAAAGCCACCGTCAGAACTCGTTCAAGTTGGAGATCCCGGCCCTTCCCAAGGGGCCGTTTTTGATGGCCCCGGGGGCCGAAAACATTCCCCAAGGTCAAATCGATTAACAAACACCAGGGTTGCAAAAACCGTGTCGTCGGAAATCTTGGGAGAGGGCCCCGCCCCAGGACTGGCTCATCCCGACTCGCTCTTTGACGGTCCCAGGGCCAGGTCGGCCAAAATCCCCCAGTCGTGATTTTGTTCGCGCCGCGAGGGGGGTGGGGGATCCTCCGCCTTGATTCGTTCGATCTTGGACCCTCGACTATGAACGCCCGAAATGGTTACGAGAAAAATTGGCACAATGCCCAACAACAGATGTTGTCCCAAACCGACAGCGGGCGCTGTTGGGCAGGCGGCCTTCTGTCTCAGATGGACACCATCCGCGGCGGCGCGGTCAGCGAGTCCTGCTCAAAATGCACAGGAGTTGCTGTCGGTCTGTGTGCCCATTCGTTCCGTACCCATTTCCATCGCCCCGATCGAAACTCGGGAGGCCAGGCCAAGCCAGCCAGGCCAAACGAATGGAGGCCTCCAAGATGGGCTCCGAGCAGATGGATGAAGGGGCCCCTGGACACACAAATAAATACACACAAATAAAAGGATTCCACATACTTTCCAACATTTTCTGGGTTTTCGTCTTCCCTCCCACTTCCCATATTTTCCTATATTTTCCTGAGAGTCGAGGATTAATTGTGTCTGTGTGTTTCTTTCCCTCCAGAATGGAGTCGGAGGATCGGGCCGCATCGCCGATGCACCGGCGACGCATCGGCGATACATCGGCGATGCACCGGCGACGTCGGCGGCGCATCGGCGACCGCAGCGAAGGGTCAGCTCGGGCCCCACATCGAACCGCATCGGCGGTGCATCGACGATGCGGCGGGATCCTCCGAAACCCCTCTGCCCGGAGCCCACTTAAAGATTGAGCAGCGACCGACCGTCCCAGCATTCCTATAGGCCTACCACGAAATCGTAGAACCCAAAAACGTTCTAAGAACAAAAACAATGTTCATAGAACATGAGCCCGACGTGCTAAAGCAAGACAGCCCCGGCCAGAAGTGTTCTAGGAACACTTCGTGCAGACCACAGAGGGCTCTCAGAACCTTGTTTGGTAGGCCGAAGGGCACGCCAGAACGCTTCGCCACTGGTTGAGAGGAAGCCCGGGGCGGAAGCGCCGACCGGCCGCGGCATGCCGTTCTCGAGCCTGGCGGGCGCGCGGGCGCGGGCGCGGCAGAGCCGCGCGGCGAGGGCCGGGCGCCAGAGGCCGGCGCGGCTCGGGCCCTCCGCCGCCGCGCTGCCGGGGGGGCAGCGGCGGCCCACAGGTGTCCAGTGTCTTCGGCGGTGCTCGGTGGCTCTCCGGGCAGGTGGGGCTGTTCCTCCCCCTGGCCATCGCTCGGACGTCCATTCCCTGTGTTTTTTTCGGTTTCGTGCGTGGTTTTTTCGCCAAGTGATCAAGGATGCTCCTCGATGGTCCTCGCCGAAGGAAAAATGCACACGTCCGAGCGATGCCAAGCCTCTGGCCCCCCATCGAGGTTCAAAACTGAGGGGGGGGGGTCAAGCCCTGGACGACCGATGGACGAGCTCACCTGGAGCCTCATCAGGCTGCGCGTCCCCCAAGATGGCCTCCCAAAGTTGCCGAAAATGTCTGAAGACTCCCAAGATGGCCTGAAGGGACTCCGAGATAACCCCAATATGCCTCCAAGACTGCACCAGATCAACCCAATTCGGCCCCAGAAGCCCACAAGACCGCCCAAGAGCCTCCTAGGGGCCTTCCCCTGGGGCCAGCTCTCCCGTGGGGCTGGAGCAATGCCCCCCGAGAGGCCGACGACGAGGAAAAACCGCAGGGCCCCTCTCGGAGGTTGATAGTCCTCCGACCCTGACACGTAGATTAGCGAATTGGCCGTTTTCGTTTCGCGAGAGGGCGTCGCGGCCGTAATTTTTGCGGGTCCAGGTCCGTCGGTTTCGGTCCTAGGCCGTTTTCACTAAAGGGTGGTTTGCTAAAGGGAGGTTCGTCCACCGCCGACTCTCCAAGACGAAGCCAGGAGCGGGACAAAATCGGTTCGGGATACGTAAATCGGGGATCTGTTGGGGGTTGCTCAAGGTGCCCCTGGGCCAGGGTGCCCCCAGCTTTGCGCTCCATGTTGGAGCCCCTGGGGCCCTCTGGGCCTCGTGAGGGGTGCTGCGGAGGTCGTGGGGGCCTCCTAAGATAATCCTGGGGGCATCTTGGGCCAGGGGCACCTCTAGCAACACTGGACTATGAGATCTGGCGGATCTGGAGGATGTACCGGGCGCAACGGCCGTTCCTGAGCGCTGCAGAGTGCTCAGAGAGCGTTCCGGAACGCCCTCGGGCGCTTTATCCTGATCCTATGCTTATGTCGGGCCTGTCCCCCTACAGGGGATTTTCGACGACAAATAAAAAATACCCCAAAATACCCCAAAAAGGTAATTAAAAAAAATCAAAAATTGTCCCCAGACTATTTTGGGACTATTTTTTAAATTATTTTTGGGGTATGTTTTATTTGTCGTCGAAAATCCCCCTGTAGGGGGACACGCCCGACCTGATCCTGTGCCTTACGCATCTGTTTTCCATGCGCGGCCGCAGAGGCCCCGGCCGCTTGCGCGCCTGCCAGAAGGCCCCCCCGAGCCGAGGCCACCTCCGCAGAGGAGGAACCAGCGGCGTAAGCTAACTTTCTGAGCTCCGCGCGGACATCTCGGATCGGCGATGGACCACCCCTCCATGGCGCGCGGAGCGCGCCAGGGGCGGCGCTGGAGGCGCAGATCTGAGAAATCCGCGGGGAGCTCCAAGAGCTTACGTTTATGCTGTGGGGTGGGGGGGAGAGGGGGAATACACCCGGGCAACTGCTCCCTGGACCTCTCCCGGGTGCGTTCGGACCAGAATTTCGAGGAGAGCCCAGTCGTGGCGACGAGGGCCTCCCAGCAGGCCCCACAGAGGCGACAACGAGGGCAGCTTACGCTTCTGCTGCTTCCCGCTCCAGGGGAAGAGGGGCTGCGGGGGCGCCGCGGGGCGCCTCTGCCACGGCGGCGGCGCCTTCGGGTCCGCCCACGCCTGCGCGTCGGCGTCGGGGCCTGCCGGGCGCGCCGCCCGGTCTCGGCGCGGCTTCGGCGCTTCAGGGGAGGGGCCGACGGGGGGGGGGGAGGGGCGAGAACCTCCGAAGCCTCTCCCTCCGCCGCGCCCTCCCCCTTGTCCCCCCCCCCCCCTCCAGGAGGTCGGGGGCGGCCAGAGAGGGGGGTGATGACTAGAGCCCTCGGGGGGGGGGTGGGACAACCTGGCCGTGGTAGCTCCCAACCGTGGTGGTGGCCACACCCGGCGGAGAGCCTCGGGCGATCTGGTGCCACCACCCGGTTCGGGGACTCGCGTGGTTGTCCGAAGATGTCCCGAACGCTGGTGGGCCCAGGAGCCACGCAACCCGGCGGTGAACCCCTTGTTCCAAAACCCGGCGCTGACTTTGTGGTATTCCGAGAGACCCGACGTCGTGACTTTTTCAATGCGGGGTCCCAGGAAGTCTCAACCCGTTCCCCAAGACCGGTTTCTCATCCTGAGTCGTCTTTTGACGGTCCGCCGAGGCCCGGCGAGGGTCCCCCGGGGGCCAAAACTCGCGAAAACCTCCGTCTTGTTGTCTTTTTCAATACTTTGGATCTCTGGACTCCAGGTCACCACCGGAGATCGCACCACTCGCTGTGGGGGCTCCCAGTGGCCAGGGCGGGCCCCGACGTCTCCCCAGAAGGCGTGCCCCACGGGCTCTCGGCGGGGACCGCGGCGCTGCCTGCGGCGTCGACTCGGGGGAGCGTCGGCGAACAGGGGCGGGAGGGCGGCTGAGGGGGCTCCCTCCCCTCCTCCTCCTCCTCCTCCTCCTCCTCCTCCTCCTCCTCCTCCTCCTCCTCCTCCTCCTCCTCCTTCTCCTCCTCCTCCTCCTCCTCCTCCGCCTCCTCCGCCTCCTCCTCCTCCTCCTCCATCTTCCATGCCTTCCGACCTCTGCGGAAGGCGCGGAAGGTGATGCATTGAAACTATTGAAAGCCTCAGGAAACGCACGAAAACTGAGCATTTCACGAGGCGCATGAGTGTGGAAGGTCAGCACGGAAGGTCTGGAAGAATGAGGGCGAGTGTCCCTCCCTCCCTCCATCCCCCCTCTCCCCTAGGGAGCCCACAAAGGACGTACGCGCCCAGCTATGTACATGTACGTGTACGTGTACGTGTACGTGTACGTGTACGTGTACGTGTACGCCCAGCGTCGATTCATGTACATGTACGTCCTTCTTTCGCTCCTGCTCCCCCTCTCCCCTCATGGTACGCGACGACTCGAGGCTAGAAGTCAGCCCACGAGGCGGCAACGTGGCGAAACCTGGCTGGACCCGCCCAGCGCACGAGGCGGCGACGAGGCGGCAACGTGGCGAAACCTGGCCGGACCCACCCAGCGCAAGAGGTGGCAACGAGGTAGCAAATGGTGGCAACGTGGAAAATCGCCACAAGACTCAACCAATGCCATAGGGATGCAAGTAAGAACCCCGAAATGCAAGCACTGTTTGGGGGAAAAATACAAACTTCCAGATATCTTGGGCCCACGGGGCCAAGCACTACTCCGCCGCCAGGCCTGTCGGGATTCAGCGTGGCCAGCCCAAGTCATGCTCTTGACCCTCAGGTTCATGCGTGCACTGATCCACCTGCTTGTGCGGTTAGTCGCGTCTCGGGTACGGTGTGCTGAGAGCGCAGGGCAACCGCAGGGCGGGGCCAGCGGTGGCGGCGGACTCCTTGAGGACCTTATCGACGATCCTTGCGACATCTCCGCACCCACAGGACTCGCGAGGCCCATCCCCGCGTCGACACCATGCCTGTCGGAATCAAGCATGGCCATCCCAGGTCACGCTGGTGAACCCGAGGTGATGGCGTGCGCTGCCCCACCTGCCTATTGCCTGTGCAACGTTTCGTCGCGTCCCTGGTACGAGCAGGGCGGAGGAGTCACTCGGGGGCCCAGTCGTCCAGCCTCACGGCGTCTCCGCACCCAGAGGACACGCGTGGCCTGGTCCCGCTTTGCCGCCAGCCTGGTTGGAACCCAGCGTGGCCATCCCAGGTCATGCTGGTGATCTACAGGTTCTGGCGTGCACTGATTCACCTGTAAGTGCGACGGTTGATTGCGTCCCTGGCTCCACCGCATTGTGCCTGGATCCGGCGGAAGGTGGAGAACGCGGGGTCGAATGCGCAGGCCGACCCGAAGGCGATGCCCACCCACCTGTCTGTGCACCGCAGGTGCCCAGGTGCCCTGCCTCTCCCGCTGCGGCTCCAGCCCAGCTCGTGACCAACCTGCTCGTGCTCTGGTTGGGTGCTTCCCGCTGGACGCGCCGTCCATTTTCCGGGCGGTGCTCCCCTCTCCGCTCCCTGGGCTGGGCGGGCGCGCCATCCGCCCCAGGTGGCGCGCTTCCTTCCTGCTGCGGCTGCTCGCCCCAGCGTTTCGTACAACCTGTTTGTGCATAGGTTTCCCTCCACCTCCATCTTCCATGCCTTCCGACCTCTGCGGAAGGCGCGGAAGGTAATGCATTGAAACTGTTAAAGCCCCGGGGAACCCAAGAAAAGCCAGCGTTCCACGAAGCGCAAGAGTGTGGAAGGTCAGCGCGGAAGGTCTGGAAGAATGAGGGCGAGGGTTGGTGCTCCTTCTTTTAAACAAAAAACATAAGCACAAAAAGCAGAAGAGCTAGGTGCTCCTGGTTCCCCCCTGGGAGGTGCGCGCCATACACCCCAGGCGGTGCGCCCATCGCTCTGCCGCGGGCGCACTCGCCTCCTGCGTTACTGTTGCCCGGGGCCCCGCCTCCCCGGGCCCCGCCTGGCGCGCACGTGGCCACGCAGGCCGACGGGGACCAGCAGGCACGCCCCTGCCCCCCCCCACCGGGGGGGCGTCGCTCCTGCGCTGCCTTCCCGTTTCTGCCTCCGGGCGGCTCCTCGCCAGGAGCCCTCGCCCAGCCCCCGCTCCGACGGGGCGCCGCCCCCCCACGGCTGTGATGCGTGCCCCGGCCCTGGGCCTGGCTCTGCTGCCTCCCGCCCCCCCCCCCGCCCCGCAAGACCACGGCCTAGTGCGTGGCTCCCACGCGCCGCCCCCGCGGTCGCCCGGGTCTCGCGGCTCCTCACCGGCCGCACTGGCTACGCCCGGCCTCTCCCCCCCTTGTCTTCCTCCTGGCCCCCCGCCTGCCCTGCGCTGCGTACGCGCACTGCCTTCGCTACTGCTGCGTCGCCAGCCCGACGAGCCACCCCGGCTCCTGGTCCGCCACTGCAGCTTACACAAAACAAAGCTGATTGGGTTCAGTCCCCCCCAGAGAACAAAACACAGCAGAAGCATACCGACTATTGAAGTAGGAAGGCACCTGAAGTAGATTGGTGCCTGGGAATCCAAAACTACCTAGTTTCAACGACCGGCGTGTGCTTGCGCAGCCCTCCCAGCAGCCGCACCGGCTCCCACTCCGCACGACTACTGGGACTGCCGTGGCCTCTGCAGCTCTGGCCTATCGTTCCTTCCGGCTTCCGGGGGGCCTCGACCCGCACTGCAGCCGCTGGACCCACCCCTGGGTGCGTTCGCGATTCTGTCCCGCGCCCGCTGCCAGCGGATCTTCTGACCAAGGTCAATCCAGACCCGGGTCAGTGAGGCCTCTCAGAATCCTGCAAGGTCCTGCACCCAAGCCCGCGTCAATGCGAAGGACCCTGCAGGATCCTGCAGGATCTTGTACCCAGACCCGGGCCAGTGCGACCCTGGCCCTGCAGGTTCCTGCAAGATCGGGCGCTCTGGCTGACCCCCGTCTGCATTTTTGGACGCCCGTAATGGGTACGCAAAGAATGGGCACAATGCCCAACAACAAATGTTGTCCCAAACCAACAGCGGCCGCTGTTGGGCAGGCGGCCTTCTTTCTCAAATGGGCACAGGCCGCGGCGGCGCGGACAGCGAGTCCTGTTCCGAATGAACAAGAGCTGCTTTTGGGCATTGTACCCATTCTGTCCGTACCCCAGATTTCGTAATAAAGGGAGTGGGGTCTCATTTCGGGGGGGGGTCTCTTCCAGGCTATCTTGGAGGGCCTGGGGGGTCTGGGGACGATGTTTTGGAGGTTTCTCCACCAGGGGAGGTCTGAAATGGCTTGTCTTGGAGGGTCCAGATCTCGGAATATCGATGAGAATCGTATCCAAGGTTAGATATTGATGAAAATCAAATATCAGTTGTGAGAGAAGAGCGTTAAGATATCTTTGATGTCTATCCTCTAAGCCAAACGGCTGTCGTACGTAACAATACAGCAGGCAGGCAGGCAAGAGCTTAGCCTAGAAACCATATTTTGGGACGTACTGTCCGGGGCTCCTAAGAGGCTCTTTACAGGACCCGCTAGAGAAACCTATCATACATCAGAATTCTAACTCTCGTCATACTCTCTTGGTTTCGAGAGCATCTATAAAATTTGATCCTAAAGGATCCTAAGAGTCGATATCCTGAATTTGAAGAGAGCATGCTTAAATTACATGTGCGAGCGTGCGAGCGCGCGGAAAACCTTGACATTCTTCACATCGCAGAATAAGTACTTCCCAAAAACCGCGTCTGCACATATATCTGGATATATGTATGTCCGTCCGAGTTCCATTGTGCATGACCATATCCATATCCATATCCATATCCATATATGATACTCTGTCTCTGGCTGTCAGAAAATTATGAACCGTATCCAATGTGTGCGTCACACATCATACTCTCATCTGAGAAAAGAAGAAATACTGGCATGTCTGTCAGTCCATACTTGATCCAAAACCTTGTCGCACTCTGACTTTGTCTGAAATGACACAGAATCCACTCGATATTAGTCTATACAACTCCTTGCTGTCTTGACCAGATACCTTTTGTTAGTTGATCGGCACACATCCATTTGGTCCTTATATGATAGAGTCGTCGCAATCGCAAGCATCTCCTTTCTTCTCGTATCGGTAATACTCCAAGTCTCTGACTCGTATCTTGTGGTATGCCCTTGAGGCCGCATGGAAGTTCCCATAGAGTCCACTGGAAGTGGTACTGTAGCTGACTCGTGAACATCTAACAGAACTAAAGGAATAG